TAAATATTAGTCTTGTTGAAATTTGGTCCTCCTGGCCGGATATCTTTTTGTGTGAACACCTTTCATCTACCTGTTCAAATTGAAATTTCATCTCATATTAACACATTTGTTCATTCTTACAATTTAAAAAAGATCCTGTAAAAATTTGTCCTCCGGGTTGGATCATCTCTATTAAAATTTATTTAATATTCCTGTAAACGTGGGAAAACTCTGTCAACTTAAAGAATGTATCCTCCAGAACGGATCATCTTCCTATGTTTATTTCCTTATGGGACTCATTATAAAACCTGATTTACATTGAATTCTAGGTGTGTTTTTTTTTTATCCTCTTACTCTTTTAAACTAATCTTTATTTGGTACATGGTATACATTTAATAACACTGTAAACATGGGAGAACAACACTTTATAAATAGGTAGTAGAAAAACCAATTCAATTTAAAAATCAGTTAAAAAATTTGTCTTGTTAAATTTGGTCCTCAGGGCCGGATATCTTCTCGTATGCACACCTTTAATCTACCTGTTCAAACTGAAATTTCAGCTCATATTAAAAAAATCTTGTTAAAAATTAGTCCTCCAGGCTGGATCATCCTCTTAAAATTTTATTTAATATTCCTGTAAATGTAGGAAAACTGTCAAATTAAAAATTGATTAAAAATAAAGTTTATTTCCTTATGGGACCCATTGTAAAACCTGTTTTACACTGAATTCTAGGTGGTTTTTTTTTTATTCTTTTACTCTTTTAAAATCATATTTATTGCCCTATTAGTAAAACAATTTGGTCCTCTGGGCCGTATCATCTTTCCACATTTATTTCCTTATGGGACCCATTCTTGTAAAACCTGTTTTACACTGAATTATAGGTTTTTTATCCATTTGCTCTTTTAAAATAATATTTATTGCCCTATTAGTAGAAAAATTTGGTCCTCCGGGCTGGATCATTTTCATAAATATTTTTTAATAGACCTGTAAGCATGGGAAAACATCTTCAATCTAAACATTAGTTTAAAAAATTCTTCTCATTAAAATTTGATCCTCCTTAGATCTTTATATGTTTATTTTCTTAATGTGTAATTTTTTTTAAACCTAAGTGGACGACACCATAATCCTATCCAACTCGATTTCGGTCCAAGCTACCTCCAACATCCAGGAACACCTTGAGCTTATCAAAGGCTTGTGTAAAAAATGGAGGACAAGACTGAATGGATAAAAAAGCACTCAGTGTACATTTTACACACTTTACACTGAAAAAGCAGTCTTGCCCTCCATCGTACATCAACAACAAAGAGATACCAATTTCCACTCAAGTCAAATACCTGGAACTTCTCGACAGTAGATTGATGTGCAATCCCCACACAGGATTTAAACATCAACAACTCAATACAAGACTTGGACTACTACTAAGACTTCTAAGACTGAAATCGAATTTTACAACTAAGATAAAGCAAACACTGAACCAGACATTACTAAGACCAATATGGACATATGGAGCGGGACTGTGGGGTACTGCCAAGCCATCCAATGTCCAGTGCTTTCCAATCGAAAGTCCATAGACAAATTGTCAAATCACCACTTGTCACTCCATAAGGTCCATAAAGACCTCAGCATTCCTTGAGTCAACAAACTGATCTGGTCCATCTTTTCTCATGGATGTTGAGGACATCTTTAACTTCCTAAGAGAACACCAGGAAGACTTTACATGCATGGACTTGACACATTACTTAGCTAGCGAGGTGGTGCAATGCTGACCAAGTTCAGAAGTGCTCTTAAAAGATGTCTCTTGAAAAAGGCAGTTTTATGGTTTCTGGCACAGCTTTTCTGCCGTTCCTTTCTCCCCCTCTCCCCGGAGAGATAGAGAAGGCACTCTATCTCCGGCTCGGGTTGGCCGGTACCCTCCAGTTAAGGTACATGTTATTCGCAAACCGCAACCACCACGAGTCCTACTTCAATTGGTGGCTACTTGGGGGGGACTGATAACACACCTGGGAAATCCGAGGAACATCCTACTGATGCACCCGTTGCCTGAGGGGTGCGGGTTCAGGAACCCAGGAAGTGTCTGACAAAGCAGGGAGAGGAAAGGATAAAAGGATAAGGTAAGGAAAAGGAAGGTAAATGGGGAAAAGGCCTCCAACATCGGTCACCTCCAGGCACCAGAGTTGATGGTCGGAGCTTGCCTGGGCCCATAGGGAAGGTGTCCCTATGGGCGAACTACTGAAACTGATTCCAAACCTTCCACACCAACCTTTCAAACCATGCTAACCATACTGCTCGAGCCCTCTCCACCCATTCCCATCCTGACAACCCGCCACATCGTCTCAACCGATGGGCCTCAGGACCTCCTTGACACCTAATCGTACACATTGAGCGCCAGCAATGGCTGGCTCCTCAAAGCATGCGTTCTACCGGTTCAGTGCTCTCTCCCGAGATGTGGTGTTTGAGGCAGTTGACTTCTGGGGTGGAGCAGGTAGAGGGTATATCCTGAAAAGTGAGCTTGCGAAGCCCGTGGGATCATTGTCGAAGAAACGGCAGGAGAGGCCTGAGAATTGAGGTGGATCATTCTCGCTACGCAGGTAAGAGATGCTCCTATCTTGAGAATCTAAATGTGTGACAGGTTGATGGGGGCAAGCGCATCACAACAAATTTTTCTTTTTTTCAATCCAGGACTCCTAGGAGACCCCAGCAGACCCTTTCCAACCCTTGGTTGCAAGGGGAGTTTCCAGGCACACACAATGGTGTAGCCTTGAGAACTTGACACACTCTCTAAAGCACAAGCTGTTCGTGTTTCCTGACGCGCATGATCGCCTTAAGCACGCCTCGAAATACGTCAAGGGAGGTTTGGCTTGCGAGCTGGCCGCGGACGGCGGGTGCTTGATCAGCGGCACACGTTGGTTAGGGTACCAGATCCTGTCTGCAGAGACGGATGAGGGTGCATAACCACAGCACAGTTCTTCAGGGAATGGATTCTTCGTTGGCTGCAGGTGAAACCCCTGTACCTAGAGAAGATGCTGTTGTTCGGTGGTGCCCGATTGGGCTTCCTTTACCAAAGGCAGTCTCCTCTAGGGAGTGGTAAAATTCCACTTTAAACGAAACCGCGGCCGGAGCGTATCCAGCGTATCGACGCTAGCCGGGCCCTACACTCAGGGAGATAGAGTTGTCTTCTCTATCTAGGGAGTGCGGTGGTAGACCGGCTGTTGCATTGCAGCCCTTTCGGGTATCCCTTTACCCAGAGGCACTCGGTTAAGTGCAAAATGTTAACCCACCCCTTCTGACGGGGCAAGCCAAGGGGGAGAAGTAAGCATGTCTGATTAGCCTGTGTATTTGGTGGCTTCTACACCGAACCTCACGGGGTTCACACTTTCCTCTGTGAGTAGAGATGAGTCGCTCCTATCTTGAGAATCTAAATGGGTGATAAGGCCTTGTGCCAGGTATGCACGTTAAACAACCTCCTAATGGCATTGCGACCCCCAATGGGAAACATATGTACATATTTGTATACGATTATGAATAGGTAACAAATAAATTTATTTATTTTTTGCATCAACCCAATACTTTCAATCTTTTTAAATGAATAAATCACTACTTATTTGCATTGTTTTTAAATCAAGACAAAAAAGAGACGTACAGATAACGTCGCTGACGACAGAACAATATAAATCTAAAAGTAAAGGGACAAAACAGGCCAAAATGATAAAGCGTGAACCAAATCGACTCCTATTCGACAGGGCAAACAGATATGGATTTCTTTTTTCCTCCCAGCCTATCTCGACCTTGTTTAAAACGAATAGAAATTTGAAGATAAAATAAAAGTTTCACAAAGACAAAATTTCGATTTTAAAAAAAAGTTGGGTTCAAAATTAGACAAGTTTTGGTGTTGTTTTTTAAAGGAAAGTAAATGTTTTCTGTTTATTTATTAAATCGAATATATAAATTTCAGCCTCTTTTATTTTTTGTTATTTATTTTTACCGATTTTTTAATTTTTTTTGGACGAGTGTAAATAGACGAGAAGTGATTAGAATTTCTCCACTGAAGAAGTGGGAGGCGCTTGCGCGTCGGTGGTCGCGCGGACTGCCGATTCCCGGGCTATCCAGTATCCTCTCATACACGGACAGGACTCAGGAGAAGGACGACATGCCCAGAAGGAAAGCAAGTACGATAAGACAATTTTTTTCCCTTCTCCCTCAAAAAAAAAAAAAATTCTCTGCTTTGTCGGAAAATCCGGCCTAAGACAGCGAATTTTCCTTGGTTTACTTACACTTTTTCTTTTCTTTTTTTCTCTTTTTTACTCAAATTATTTTCTCCTGTCTATCTAGTCTTTTAATCCACCTACCTATGTCTACTCTACACCTGTAAACCTGAATCAATCAATCTTTCTTTCAATTTCTATCTATTTCCACCAATGTACCTCTAAATCAATCAATCTTGATCTATTTATATTTTTCTATGTATCCAATTATATAGCTAATTGTCCATCAATTTATTTATCTACATGTACACTTCGGCTTTTAAATCTTTNTTTATTTATCTATCAATATATCTATTTAACCGTTTATATATCAGTACGTTTACTATTGATTTATTTATCTATCCATTTATCTATCAATTTATTTACATCCATTACCTATCTATCTATTTATTTATCAGTATATTTCTCAAACAATTTATTTATCTATCTATTTATCTATCAACATATTTTTCAATCATTTATCTATCATTATGTATATTTAACCATTTATATATCTGTACGTTTACTCTCTATCTATTTATTTATCAATATATTAATCCAACAATTTCTTTATCTATATTTATTTATCTACACATAGCAGTCGTACTATTCATCAACATATAAATTTATTTATCCTTCCATTTATCTATCAATAGATTTATTTTCGAATTAATTCATCTAGATAAATATACTTTTCTACTTATCGGGGAAACCGCTCGTCACAGATGTTTTTTTTTTTTTTTTTTTTTTTAAAGGAAAGTAGGTGTTTTCTGTTTATTTTTAAATCGAATATATAAATTTCAGCCTCTTTTATTTTTTGTTATTTATTTTTATAGATTTTTTAATTTTTTTTTGGGCGAGTGTAAATAGACGAGAAGTGATTAGAATTTCTCCACTGAAGAAGTGGTAGGCGCTTGCGCGTCGGTGGTCGCGCGGACTGCCGGTTCCCGGGCTATCCTCTCATACACGGACAGGACTCAGGAGAAGGACGACATGTCCAGAAGGAAAGCAAGTACGATAAGACAATTTTTTTCCCTTCCCCTCAAAAAAAAAAAAATTCTCTGCTTTGTCGGAAAATCCGGCCTAAGACAGCGAATTTTCCTTGGTTTACTTACACTTTTTCTTTTCTTTTTTTCTCTTTTTTTACTCAAATTATTTTCTCCTATCTATCTAGTCTTTTAATCCACCTACCTATGTCTACTCTACACCTGTAAACCTGAATCAATCAATCTTTCTTTCAATTTCTATCTATTTCCACCAATGTACCTCTAAATCAATCAATCATGATCTATTTATATTTTTCTATGTATCCAATTATATATCTAATTGTCCATCAATTTATTTATCTACATGTACACTTCGGCTTTTAAATCTTTCCATCTATCTATCTTAACTATCTATGTATAGATTTTTATACTGATCTATCCCATTTATATATCAATATATTNTTTATTTATCTATCAATATATCTATTTAACCGTTTATATATCAGTACGTTTACTATTGATTTATTTATCTATCCATTTATCTATCAATTTATTTATATCCATTACCTATCTATCTATTTATCAGTATATTTCTCAAACAATTTATTTATCTATCTATTTATCTATCAATATTTTTCACTCATTTATCTATCAATATGTCTATTTAACCACTTATATATCTGTACGTTTACTCTCTATCTATTTATTTATCAATATATTAATCCAACAATTTCTTTATCTATATTTATTTATCTACACATAGCAGCCGTACTATTCATCAACATATAAATTTTTTTATCCTTCCATTTATCTATCAATAGATTTATTTTCGAATTAATTCATCTAGATAAATATACTTTTCTACTTATCCATTTATCTCTCAATACATTTATATTCAAATTATCTATCAATATCTATTTATCTAGATATATCAACTTTTCTATTTATCTATCTATATATTTACCAATCTACACATAACCACCACTATATTTATCCATGTAATCATTTATATGACAATATATTTATTTATGTATATTTATTCTTTTCTATTTTTCCACCATGAAGACATATTTTTATTTATCTAGGTTTCTTTAAAACCGACTAATTGTAACTTTCTATGCAGTTTTTTCTTCTTTCTTTTAATTTTACGTAGGTTTTTACAGTTTTCTTTTCTGTACTTTTTTATTTAACGATAGGTAAGTTCTATCGAGAAATCTGTCTATTACACATTTCTAATCTTCCTTTACATTTTTTTTTTTACGTAAGATGTCTTTCTTTTCTACTCTATCTAGAATTTCATATATTACATAATCTAACTGTTAGTTTGCACAAACTTAAACCCGTCTCACTCTTCGCCTTCCCATTTTATTTTATTTTTTAATTTTTATTTTATTGTTAGCCTGTACATTCTTGTATTTGTTCGATCCGTTTATGTTAATTTTGTATGTGTGTGTGTGTCGTTCAAATTGGCACGACAGCTCGTTTGTCTTGGGAGGCTTGTTTTTTTTTTATATATATATTTATATTTATCCGTGTTTTTATTTTATTTTTTTAATAGCAGTTTTTTTTTAGACAATTTCGTTGGTGAAACAACTACGGGGGACGAGATTCACCAAGAGTCAAATATTTGCCAACTACTTCAGCACTAAATAAATCCCACGTCGAATCCCCCGAGGCTAATATTTTCTAATTGATTAACCGACAATTATGATCAAATACTGGCGAGATAAGTAATTTCAATTAGCACCAGAACTGGAGTTTTATTTTCCCCCAACATTCTTTTATATGACCTTTAACACCCAATCTTTGCATATATATTGTCAATATTGCTAGGCAAGTTTTATTTTTATATCGATTTTATTTTTCTCTGAGAAGATAAAGCGTTTATCTGGACAAACAAAAGATTAGAAAGAGTAAAAACGTGGCAAATATCTATTTTTTTATTCGATATTTACTGTATATATANTTTATATATATAAGGAATAAATTTATCATAGACTTTCGACGGATCTATTTATATATAAATTATTAAACGTGACTGTAGTTAATCGGTAATACTTCATGTGAAAGATCGATCATCCGCGGATTTATTAACGGATAAAAAACTCACCGAACCGGTTTATAATTGATAAAACCCGACCCCAGGGCCGTGATTGTATTGTCTGTAATGACAGAAAAAACGCACAGTCATGGACGGTTAGTTGAACTTTGTTCGGGGAGTGGGGAAGAAAAGGGCAAAAGGGCGACAAATTGAAAAAAACAAACCGAACAGGAAGTTACAAGTGGTTTTTTGTTTTAATTTTTTTTTTAATTCGACCAGATATATTAACAGAGCTCCTGGTACATCATTCCGTCCTGGTAACTGCAAGCTTGAGGAAGCAAGTAAGGAACCAGGAGTTCAATCTGTACAAGATTCTCTTTATCCTTCCATCCTATAGTATTTTATATAGCTCAAATGTGGAGTTATCAGGAGGCAAGGAAGTACCAGGAGCTCAATCTGTACAAGCGTCAGTTTATTATTCCATCGCATAGTAATTTTTTATATCTCTGACCATGTTTCGGCCCTGTTTGGATATGCAATCATAAACAAGTCTATTTCACAAGAGTAGGTGGGCTGTAGGAGCTCAAATGTGGAGTTATCAGAAGGCAAGGAAGTTCCAGGAGCTCAATCTGTACAAGCGTCTGTTTATTCTTCCATCGCATAGTATTTTTTTTATATTTCTGACCATGTTTCGCCTCTGTTTAAGTATGGGATCATAAAGAAGTCTATTTGACAGGAATAGGTAAGCTGTAGGAGCTCAAATGTGGAGTTATCAGGAGGCAAGGAAGTATAAGGAGCTTAACCTGGTCATCTGTCACTTTAACTTCTCCATCGTTGTATTTATTTTATATTTATGGCCATGTTTCGCTTCTATTTAGATATGCAATCATAAAGAAGTATATTTGACAGGAGTAGGTACGCTATTGGAGCTCCAATTTGGAGTTATCAGGAGGCAAGGAAGTATAAGGAGCTTAACCTGGTCATCTGTCACTTTAACCTCCTCCATCCCGTTGTATTTATTTTACATTTCTTACCATGTTTCGTCTCTGTTTAAGTATGCAATCATTAAGAAGTCTATTTGACAAGAGTATGTAGGCTGTAGGAGCTCAAATGTGGAGTTATCAGGAGGCAAGGAAGTACATAGAGCTTAACCTGGTCATCTGACACTTTAACCTCTCCATCCCGTTGTATTTATTTTATATTTCTGACCATGTTTCGCCTCTGTTTAAGTATGCGATCACAAAGAAAGTCTATTTGACAAAAATAGGTAGGCTGTAGGAGCTCAAATGTGGAGTTATCAGGAGGCAAGGAAGTACCAGGAGCTCAATCTGTACAAGCGTCTGTTTATTATTCCATCGCTTAGTATTTTTTTATATTTCTGACCATGTTTCGCCCCTGTTTAGATATGCAATCATAAACAAGTCTATTTGACAAGAGTATGTAGGCTGTAGAAGCCCAAATGTTGAGTTAGCAGGAGGGAAGGAAGTGCCGAAGGTGATGGTCCAATGACTTCAACCCCAAACCCAGCTAAGCTGCCCTAAAGGGAAAAGCATCAGCCTGCTCGACCTCCTTTTAATCAGCTACGCCAACAGCTCAGATAGTAAACGTCGTACCTTCCTCAACAATATCACTGTAGTCACTGGGAGCTTTCTTGAAAGTAAGTATGTATCAGGATCTGCCAGGAGCTCGTTGATAAAGAAAAATATTCTAATTTACCAATTTTCTCATCATTTTAATTGTTTATACAAATTGGAGCTTGAGAGTAGAAGTACCAGGATGTAAGGATGTGCCAGGAGCTCCTTGTTACTATAGAAGCTCAGGTGCAGCCAAAAAACCTCTGCTTTTACAATTTTTTTCTTTCATGAATCTGAGTTTCTGTTGTTATCAAGGAGCTCCTGGCCCATCCTTAAATCCTGATACCTCCACTCTCGAGCTCCTATGCGGGGAAAAAATCAGCTTGTACTGTTACTTATTTTAATTTTTTTTTTAATAAAAAATTGCGTGAAAAGAGAAAAATCATGAAATTTGACGTAACAATGCTTTCGTCGACGTCTTAAGTTATTTTTATTTTGTTTTTATTGGCTGCCCGCGAGAAACTCGTCGCCCTTGTGTAGGCATTTAAATGTCAATCCGGACCCGGGGGAAAAAAGGAGGAAAAAAATTCGGCCGGCCTTGCAAAGCATGGGCATTTATTATATGTCCCATCTTCGATTTGATTCGTGACGGAAGTGAAATGCAAGTCTCGGGTCGGCGACCCGGTTTGAAATATTTACAATGGGTCAATGACGGAATAAATTTACACCGGGGCTCTTCCAAGAGGGAGTAGATATGCCTATTTTAACACACAAGCCACCGGCAATCCCAAAACTATTTTTTTTATATACATCCTCACGAAACATCCACGGCGAGAGAAAAGCCTTTTAGAGCGAATAAGGTCAATTATTGACTCGGCCGAACTTGGGGGAAAAATAGACCATTACGCCATTCGAGTCAACGAAAAGAGTAAATATTCTAAAAAACACGACGGAATTTCCACGAAGAGTCGTAAAAACAAATTGGCAGTAAAAAAATCACTGGGACATAAATTTAACGCCAAGACATAAATACACCCGAATTTTTCCGGCGAAAACACTTGTAATGCACTCTTCTGATTTTATTGCCTTCCATCTACGTTCTTCATACACACACACACACAAATGTATCTATCTAGAAAGCAGCAATATTGATAGAGAGATAAATGGATGGTTAGAATGTGTCATTGACAGATAGAGGGATAAATAAAAGGTTAAAACAATTGATTATGCGTCGTGACCCGATTGACCAAATAAATTCTTTCAATTAATTAATCTTTAATAATTTAATCTGAGATGAAAAAAGTCAGGATCACGAGCGGGATTCGAACCCACGATCTTCGGCTAGATACGCCGCTGCTGAGCTATCGTGACCTCGATTCACTCGGACTCTATCAAGTGGTAGAGCGACGGC